GAGAGTGAGTGAGGGAGCGAGCGAGAGAGAGAGCGAGCGAGCGAGAGAGCGAGAGAGCAAGAGTGCGAGAGAGAGCGAGAGAGCGAGAGAGCGGGAGAGAGAGCAAGAGCGAGAGTGCGAGAGAGAGAGAGAGAGAGAGAGAGAGAGAGGAAGGATCCGCAGGATGGCCAACCCGGCCGCCATGTGTGATCCCCACCAAGGCTGTGTCAGAGCAGGGACGCCGAAAGAGGTCATGTACACCCTACACGTTGTGAACGAACGGCCTCGTTTTACAAAGAGAGACATTTATTTCATAAAACACAAACACGGCGAGAGGAACCGCCTGGCCACTTCGAAGCCACCGATGCCTTTCCTCCCCGGATTTCAGGGGAAGCCACTTAGCAGCCACCGGTGCCTTTCTCCCCGGGATTTCCGGGGGAGATTCTAGACCAAAGCCACCAGTGCCTTTCTCCTCGGGATTTCCGGGGGAGAAGAATCTCCCCCGGAAATCCCGAGGAGAAAGGCACCGGTGGCTGCTAAGTGGGATAGGCCCGCCTCGGGAGAGCAGCCTGAGATAGGCCCGCCTCGGGAGAGAGTACAGCCGTTACACGGCCGTTACACGGCTGTTACACGGTACTCAACGACGACAACGCAGCCCGGCCCTTCGAGCCCTTGGAAAACGGATTTGACCAGGCTATCCCTTAAGCGGCGATGGGGTCAAAATTGACCCCAAAGAGGTCAGGTCTTAGGGCCCCACGGTAGGGCGTATGAGCCTACTGGCCACTTAAAGGATATTTTGAGGTGGGCCCGCCACGCTCGGGACCCCTAATGCTATCCCTTAAGTGGCCAGTAGGCTCATACGCCCTACCGTAGGGCCCTACAGGCGTACCTCGCTCACACGAAACCGCCCCCCCTTAGGACCCTACAGTAGGCCAATGCCTAGGGCCCTACGGTGGTCCAAGGGGGGGGGGGTATATATATATATATAGTACCCCTGTAGGACCTGCCTATATATATATATATATATATATATATACCCTCGCCACCTAAGGGATGCATATATATATATATATATATATATATA